AGCCGTTCGGAGAACTCGGGGAACCCCAGTAGGGGGAAACCGTCCGGATGCAGCCAAGACTTGGGGTGCATGGGAAAATGGAAACCAAGCGGGTGCGAGGAAGGCCCTTCGCCCCCGCTCAGGCCATTACCCATCTCACGGAACCGCCTGTCTGGCTCAAGGTCCTTCTTGCTGTCGGAGACAGTCGCCTCTGCCGCTGCAGCTACCACCACCTCGTCCTCTCTGGCTTCAGCCTCGGCGTCTCCATCTGCCACACCAGTCCCGGACTCTTCGGTCTCCTGGGGCCTGGGCTCCATTTCCTCTGGCTCTGCTGTGGCTACAGCTGCGACTGCCATCTCCAGCTCGTGGGGAGCCATCCCCACGCCATCGCCGCCGCTGGGTTCCGTGCAGCCACCGCGCCGGTGTCTCTGGAAGTCAGCGCGCAGGCGGAAGGCCTGGCCGCAGTCCGGGCAGCAGTGAGGACGGTCGGCGGTGTGCACAGCCTGGTGGCGGGCGAGCGCTGAGCTCTGGCTGAAGCTCCGGCCGCAGTGCAGGCACGGGTAGGGCCTCTCGCCCGTGTGCGTGCGCTGGTGGGTTACCAGGTAGGAGCGCCGTCCGAAGCCCGCGCCGCAGAAGGCGCAGCGGTAGGGCCGCTCGCCCGTGTGGATGCGCCTGTGCGTGACCAAGTGCGACTTGTAGACAAAGCGCTTGCCACAGTCCGGGCACGGGAAGGGCTTTTCGCCGGTGTGAGTGCGCTGGTGGATGGCTAGGTGCGAACGGTACACAAAGCCCTTGCCACACTCCTCGCAGCCGAACGGCTTGACGGCCGCATGGTAACGCTGGTGCTTGGCCAGGCGCGAACGGTGGGGGAACACTTTGCCGCACACATCGCATGTGGTCTCCGGACGTCCGATGGGGACAGCTACTGCAGGAAATGCCCAGGGCGCCAGGAAGTTCTCCCCAGGCCCCCGGCCGGACAGGAAATGTTTAGCTTCAACCTCCTCGGCCAGGATCCCGAGGCTGACTGGGTTGGGTCCCCAACCATCTGGAGTCTGCGCCAAATCTGAATCGTCGGGACCCCAAGTCCCAGGCACATCCCCCACACCATAGGCAGCAGACCACAGCCCTGGGGGCTCGTTCTCCTCCTCCGCCATCTCAGCAAGGAAGTCCTCGTCATCTTCCTCCTCATGGTCCTCTATGTCATCATTCCAGAACCAGGCTCCTGGAGGGGAAAAGACACGAGGATGATGGTACAGGAGCTTGGCAAGGAAATTGCCCTAAAATCCTTGAAACAGACCTGCTTCATCAAGTCAGAGGGTGGTATATGGCATAGCCAATTCCTTCCAGCTCCAAGGCAGGAAGGCTGCTCCCCCCCTCCCCCCGTTAGGGACTTAATAGAGGCCCAGCATGCACACCTGGCGAGGAAAGCCAGGGACCTTCCAGGGCTTGCGACTGTGTGGAGAATGGGAGACTGCAAAGTGGGTAGTTTATCAGAAGGTTCTTGTTCACAGGAAAAGGCACTGGGATGAAACCTGGGGCACTGCAGTCCCCAGGCACCCAACATAGCACGTCCAGCCATGCCCTCTGCCCGGAGGACCTGCCTCCGTGAAACCTACCCCCCAGTGTTTCTCTTCTACCTGTCTTTCCCAGTGGCCAGGGAGTTCTCTTCTACTCTAGACAGTGGGAACAGGACCGGCTAGCCAGGGGAGAGCCTGTGGGCTCTCACATTAAAGAAGCCCCAGGAGCTGTGCACATGGGGTCCCCACTGTGAGGTCACCCTGGCTTCATTTTCTTGAACTCTGCATTTGAGAAACTCCAGGCCAGCTGAGACTGTGGGTACTGTGAACACCTCTGGGACTTTCTGCCACTGACCCCTCCCCAAATGAGATGCACCCCTGACTCATTCTTCAGTCCTTCCGGGGATTGTGTGGGCTTCTAGAATCAAGTCTGAAGGGCTGCCTTGTTGAGGAAATGAGCATGTAGACACACCCAGGACACACAGGGACACCACCTGTACCACAGTGCTTCCAGGTGTTCAGAGCACCTGTGTGCCGAACTCTTGTGCACCATGCCCAACAGATCTCAGCAGCTGGAAGGCCTGGGCTCCCACCCACTTGATTCTGAGGGCAAAGGTCTCGCCCATTTAGATCCAGGCTCACCCACTGGCCTGGGTGAGCCTGGACCACAGGAGCCTGGTCTGGACCAGGAAGTCTGAAAAACCAGGGTGACTTCATATGACGAGTCCTACACCCCATCAGCCCTAGTTCTGCATACTAGATGTCATTCAAGGAGAAGATAGCATAGTGCCACATACATGAAGCCCCAGAACTGAGGGCCTAACTACAGATGTGGATGAACATGCTGTTCCTATGAAAGGACAAGAAAATGTGTTACTTTATTTTTGCTTAGTCTGAAATACTGTTTCCCAATTATTCTAGTAATACATAATTTAGAAGTTTTAGATGGAAAAATGTCTTAGGTGAGTTTATAGCTGCTAACATGGCCACCAGAGTGACAAGAAGTGTCAGAGAGAGGCCCTGTTGCTGGCTAGATGCTGCCCTTTGTTCAGCCACACTTTCCAAATCTGGGAAGGCTGGAGCAACCCTGGGGCAGGGAGAAGATGACTGACAACCAGATGTTCCCTAGGCTCTGGTGAGAGGCGTAAGTAGTTTTTAACTAGACCCCAGTTAAGTCAGGGGAAGCTGATCCTGAGGAACGAATACAGTCTGCTGGATCTGCCAGTCTATGACTCTGCAGGAGCTTGCAGAGTAGGCTGGCACTTGCCTGCAGTCTGGGAATAGCAGGAATGTCTATTCTCTCAGGATGAACCCCTGCACCCGATTCCACCACACAAAGCTCTGCAGGGAGACCAATCCCGAGAGGCCTGGGGAATCACACTGCTACCTCTGGAGTTGGCATGGCCACTGCCAACAAGCACGAGGCCTGTGTTCAGTGACCTGATGGAGGCCAGCACTGATTGCAGGGTGACGAACCAACCCCTAACCCTAGAGAAAGCTGGTTCCACCCCAAGGTGAGACCAGCTTTGGGTCTTCATTTCCTGCTTCTATGTGTTTGCTCAAAGTTTAGAGGTCATAGCTGTGGAGTGTACCATCTCAAGGAACAGCCAGCCCACTGGCAGACTTCACTCAGAGCCGAGGTCTGTTAGTCTCTGGTGAGGAACATCAGGCCTACTGTAAGTCAAGACACACCTGGAGGGTGTGGTGTCTTCCTGAACAGCTGGACAGCAATGGGGAGGGCAGCAATCCAGCAGGTGACCCTGAGGGCCAAACCCAGACCCAAGGAGAGTAAGGTAGGGATGGGGGCTGCCTTGCACCTAACATTTGCTCCAGAGATTGGACCATGGGTGAAGGGTGATTAGGTGGGCCTCCAGGAAGATTCAGGGGCTCAAGGCCAACTGTCGAGCCAAAATACAGGTATTGCCACAAGGACATCTTTACAACCCATGTCCTGAGCTGGAGACACTTGGACTCTGGTGAAACAGGTTTCCTGCTCACCATAGTGGGAAAATGAGAACTGATGGGGAAGGGGGGGCACAAACAAAGAAGTGGGAAGGCCAAGGTACTAAGTGGGAATCCTCAGGACTGTGGGCTATCATCAGTTTCCCACATTTCTGCAAATGTCATCTGGTTATAGTCTCACTGTCATAGTGGCTGGCAATGTGAGTCTTACAGGTTTGTCCCTTTGAAGCATAACACTGGGAATTTATAAGCTCAAAACTAGCTTATTCCATTGCGTTCCACCCTAGGGGCTCTCCCATGGCTTATGTCCCCAATCTGCTGAATTTTCCAAGGAGTGCCTGGGACAAGCTGAGCCCTTTACCCAGATCTTTTACTCCAGGGACACTGAGCAGGCCAGTCCATTCCAAGGCTACAAGGTGGGGTGCTGGCTGTCTTGGGGACAGACTGTCAGCAGTTGCAGAGAAACAGGGATCCTGACAAGGCATGACAGGCACAGAGGTCCCCAGTCAAGATGCCGTTTTGTTTCCATTGACAACCAGTTCTCCTGAGGTCCCCAGTAGTATCTATACCTGTCTTCATGCTCACCCCAATCATTTCCACCTAAGTTACAGAAACTGAGGATGAGCCCAGGCAAAATTCCTTTCCTTATTGGGGACAGTCCCCAAGGGAAGAGTCATACCAAAATGATGCCCAAGTCTATGGATGTTGGCAGCCTCACTGAGGGCTGCCGGGGAGGTTGTGAACAGCAGCCTGGGAAGGTAGCCAGCTTCTACACTGGCATCTATCTGGCCATGCTAACAGGTCTGGAAGCAGGCAGCCCTCCAGGGATGGGCACTAGGCTGCCCCCTGTTGCTGGGGAGTGGCTTCTAAAAGACCAGCAACTCGATGGCCTTGATGTCCTCATGAGTGATGTAAGGATTCAACACCAAGGCGCAAGTACTAAGAGGAGCCAAGGCTGGCCTTTGTCATGGGGATTTGGGAGGAGTAAGCATTCCCTCACCCCATCAGAGCCTCCAGCACTTGAATACCTATCTGTCCCTTTGCCCCAGATGCTAAGAAGCCAGCCTCTTTGCCAGATGTTCCCTTACTTCTTCCCCTCTACCTGCATTAAGCCCAGGGACCTAGGGATGACAGGGCTCAGCCTCTAGTACCCTGGCTAGGACTAGAGGACTCTACTACCCAGGTTCCCTCCAGGGCATGGCTAGGTGAAACTCCACCAACAGACCCTCATTTGTGCTTAGCTGAACCTCTAGATAACTGATAGTTGCTGTGTGTGCCCAAATGGAGACCAACTGTTGGCAGACCGGCAGTGTGCACTTTGAGATCAGTCTTGCTTAAGAAAGATCACATTCCTAGCCGGGGGTTGGTGGCGCACGCCTTTAATCCCAGCACTCAGGAGGCAGAGGCAGAGGCAGAGGCAGGAGAATCTCTGTGAGTTCGAGGCCAGCCTGGTCTCCAGAGCAACTGCCAGGATAGGCTCCAAAGCTACACAGAGAAACCCTGTCTCGAAAAAGCAAAAAGCAAAAAGCAAAAAAAAAAAAAAAAAAAAAAAAAAAAAAAAAAAAAAAAAAAGATCACATTCCAGGCTCTAGCCCCCGCCTATCCCTGCTTACTTGCTACTTACTGGATTCTCAGTGCCTCTTAAACTACATCCTCATTTGTTAAATATGTTTCAGCTGGTTCAATCTCGGTGTTGTATTTCCTTTCTAGTCTTCACTTTCAGAAAAGGGGCTGGGAAGATGGCTTGGTTAGCACTTGCCACCTAAGTACAAACACCTGAGTTCAGTTCCCAGCACCCATGTGCAAAGCCTGATGTGGAAGTGAGTGCTTGTAATCCATGAATAGAGAAAGCAGAGTTGGGTGGACTCCTGGGGATATCTGGTCAGCCAGCCTAATCATCAAACCCCAGATTTCAGTGAGAAACCAAGTCTCAACAAGGGGACAGTGCCTGTGTTAACTTCTGGCCTCCATGCACACCTGTACACACATTCCAAGAAAGGAAAAGCGGTTGAGACCTCAGCAGAGGGAGTTGGGATTGTCCCCATAGGGCCAGGTGCTGCTCTAGCCAGCACAGCCTCTGGAGGCCACTGAAACATGAAGTGCTAGGGGAGGCAAAAGGCCAGGCGCACACAGACACTGAGCACCAGGGCAGTAGCTGTCAGGGCATGCCTTCTCCAGCTGTATTCTCTGCTCCAGTGTAGACTGCAGGCAGGAAACAGGGTTAAGTCAGGGGCAGGGATCTCTCCAGGACCACATGGGTGTTCATAAGGACCCAGGACACTGGGATGGAAGCCGGGTCAGGAGGGTGAGCTAGTCGGACACTTATGGAGTGAAGAGCTGAAGGAGGTGGCCAGGGTTGCTAGGATACCTAGAGCACAGGCTGAAGGACAAGTGGAACTCTGAGGATCACACAGAAGATGGCAATACCTGAGGGAAGGAATATGGTTGGGAGTCCACACCTCATGTACAGCTGAACTCACAAGGGGCAGAGGAGAGGAAATTAGAGTCTTGTTTTACAAGACTAACTTAAAGTCCAGATGGCCTGTGTTGGGACAGTTAGTATCTGTCCTGCCAGACTCAGCCACTCTCAGTGCCCAGCTGACACTGCTGGGCAGAGGCCAATGAAAGGAGAGGCAGACACTCAACCACTGGTTGTCCTCAGAAGGAAGACATGAGGGCGTTACTGGGCCAGAGCTTCTCCCTGATTCTGCCATCCATATCCCCTGTGGGCAGTCATGTGACACATCAAAGACATGCCCTGGGTGGCATCCTATGAGGGACAGGACCACTTAAGGTTCTTTAAGGACATACCATCCCTTAGACCTCTGTGAAGCTGGACCATGAGGACTCAGGAGGAGACAGCAGGAGCCAGCACACAGCAGCCTGCCTGTCTCCTCACAGCTACCCCACACCCCAAACAAATGAGCATTAACAGCATCAGGGAGGCAGAGGGATCAGGTGCAGGTCTTCGGATGGTTCACCTTGGTAAAGGCTCAAGTTGGACACAGCTCTGAGCAATCATGCTAGCAGAAACCCCTCAAGACTCATCTCTCACTCACCCGTGTAGACGCCGGTGACAATGTCTCCTTCCTCAGGATGGGGGCTGTCTGGGACCCAAGGTTCTTCTCCTTGTTCCAAGTGGAAGATCAGATCTGGCTTAGGGATTGGGTATCCTACCCAGGAGAGAGAAAGATGGTCACTGTATGGGTGGCTGTCCCAATAGGGCCCAGGCCATCCCTGTCCACACTCAAATCCTCTGCTCTGTACCCTCCCAGGACCAGCCCTCCCCCACAGCCTCTGCTCTGAGAGATCCTACAATCCACTCCTGGAAGCCTTGTCTTCCACACCCACCCATACGCCCTCACCAGCAGGAAAACCACAGTTCTCTTCCTACCTAGAGGTTTCTGTGCAGTCAAGAGGCCAGTGGGGAACACCAGCTTCATAGCGTGTCTCCACCTGGTTTGGACCTCTGAACCCAGAAGCCGAAATGGGCTGACTGCTCCAAAATCCAGGAGCTCAAGAAGCACTCCCCTTGACAGCTAAGCCGCCACAGCCCTCATAGCAGACTGCCTCGGGGTCCGTCCTTACCCAAGGAGACCAGGATCCCATAGTTCTCCTGCATCACTTCCCGGTAGAGGTCCCGCTGCTCCACATCTAGCCTCTCCCACTCCTCCACAGAGAAGTACACGGCCACATCTTCAAAAGTCACCAGCCCCTGAAGAACACAGAGTCCCAGGAGAGAGGCTGAGGGGACGCCCTGCCTCCAACACCCATGCAAGAAAACAGTGGGGACACAGCCCAGCTCCCCATTACTGATGGGTCTACATGTGCCCATATGACACTACAGTCTCTCAGGCCTCTTACCCTGTGACAGGGACCCATCTCCTATCCCTCAAACTCAGAGAGGGCATGGCTCCTCCCATGTCACACAGACGAGTCCCAGCAAATACCTTGGCTACATCAACAGGTTAGCAATACCAGCTAAGCTGAGTATGGGTACTGGTGTCTGACCTGACAGCAAGAAACAGACCCCAGGAAGGAACAGTCATTCTAGAAGACTCCAACCTGATCTGGGAGGGAGTGGCATGGGGACAGCCACGCCCAGTACAGTTGAGTGGGAGGTAGCCAGAGTATTCAGAACAACATAATGGCCTGGGAAGGGACCGGGACCTGGGACAACAGAACCACATAAACCCTGGGCCTGGAAGCTAAATCCTTGTCCTCACTCAAGAGCTAGAACACACAGAGGGCCCGAGACCATGGCTGACCAGTGCAAATGTAGAAGACAGCTCACCTGAGTCAGAAAATGCTCATCATCTTCCTCTTCCTCCTCTTCCTCCGGATCTTCATTCTGAACCGTAGGAGAGGCCCGGGAGGCCTGCAGGGCTGAGAGGAAGACCGTTCAGGGCCAGTGGCACCTGGCTGGCAAGCAGGGTGGAGCCCCCAGCTACTCCCACACTTGAGACCCAGGTCCAGCCCCATCTTCATGACCCCAGAGCCTCTTCCTACCAGGGGATGGTCCTTGTTCCTACCTTTTCCTTGAAGAACTGGTGACTTGACATCACCACCATTGCTAAGCTGCCCCTGGGTCCCCACGTGTAGACTCTGCTCCTCTGCCAGCAACTCCTCCACACTGTCAGCATCAGCACTGTGCTCTGAGTTGGCCTCCACCTCCTGTACCTGGGTGGCCACTGCTACTTCTTCCACCTCTGCCTCCTCTCTCCCCTTCTCCTCCTCCTCCTCCTCCTCCTCAGGGTCAGCATCACATTCTGACCCATCTTCTGCAGGTTCTGGCTGAGTAGCTGGGGAGTCTGGAGTAGTGTGAAGGGCGGCCATCGTCCCTAGGAGAGAGCCTCTGTGTGGCCTGAAACACAGAGGCACTTTGCAGGGGAGGCCACAGGGGCTGAGGAAAGACCATGCTCTATCTGTCATCTCAGGCTATGCAACCGGCACGTGATTTACCCAGAAAGACCACCCAAAAGGCTCCTCCCCACAATCCTCTGGGACATGGCTTCTGTTCTCTCACCAGCAGCTATGTGTCTAGTGTGAGCCTATTCCTGGGTAAGTCACCCATTATTCTAATCCTTAAGGACCAGGAAAAGCATGGAGTGCAGCCAACAGAGCCCCAGGGATCCATGTAACCTACAAGGGGCTGCCAGTCCCACACCGGAAGCAAAGATGAGCAGCTTACCCAGCTCTCAGCACACATGAGCCAGGTCAGGCCCAAGCGCTGTCAGACCACTGGCACCTGTGTGGCTTTGAGGGGTGGAGTGGAGTGTGGGTTGGAAGAGTATTCTGCTTTGCGTCTTCAGGGGAAGGAGAGAGTGCCCAGCACTCAGCAAGCTCTAAGGCCCCCTCCTGTGAGTCAAAGGAGAGACAGGGTCATGAGCAGGCATCACTCCACCTACCTATATCTGACTCCAGGGGTGTTGTGAAAATCTCAGTCAGTTCAGGAGGTAGAGTCCAGCTCATCACTAGGCTAGCACAGGTGACATACAAGGTGACTCTCCTTCAAAAGTTCAAGGACCAGAGGACAGAATGGTTGAAATGTCAACACCTCACAGGCTCACAGGGTCCTACTCCCCTGGTGATGCCACAGACTCAGTTCAGCTACACCCGGCCTGCAGTCTAGAGCCACCAGCCTAATGGGCTAGCAGCAGGGGTCCTACAGTCACTAATCTAGCCCATGTCTACAAAGAAGCAGCCCAATGACTCTCAAGGGCTGGGCAGTTATGTTTTCTTTTTTACTATATTTATTTAATTGTGGAGTGGGAACGCATGGCATGGCAAACGTGTGGAGGTTGGAGGACAACTTTCAGGAGTCGGCTCTCTCCTTCCATCCCATCAGGTCTCAGGGATCAAACTCAGGTCATCAGGCTTGGCAGCAGGTACTGTTAGCTGTTGAGCCATCTTACCAGTCCACTGTGACTTTCACAAACTCATTCCTATGACTCTTTTATCATGCCACTCAGTACTTGCCCTGTAAGTATCTCAGACCTGAATGGGACCATTTCAAAAGCAGGGCAGGCCACCCCAGCATGCTGAGTTTCAAAAAGATCCTGAAATGCCAGCCCATATTAGACACTGGAGCCACCTCGGTGGACAGTGTTGCCTCAGGATACTTAAAACCAGACTGGCAGGTAAAGATGCCCAAGGCCACGAGGACAGTCAGACAACTGTGCCTGGTATTCCCACGGACACACCTGAGCGGCCTACTCAGGGCAGGCTCACCTATATCCTGTCCCCTTTCTGTTTAGACATCTGCTTTCAAACCTATGCTCTGGAGACTGGACAGTTAGACTGCTCAGCCATTAGAAGCACTGGCTGCTCTTCCAGTGGACCTACGTTCAATTCTCAGAATCCACATGATAGCTCACAATCATCTGTCACCCCAGTTCCAGGGGATTCCATGCCCTTTCTGCCCTCTGTGGGCATCAGACATACAAGTAGTTCATAAGACATACTAGGAGGAAAACACTAATACACATAAAATTTTGAGAAAAACTTAATAAAAATCTACACTTTGGTACTGGGGAGGTAGCTCAGTCCGTAATGTGCTTGCTTTGCATGCATGAAAACCAGAGTTCGCTCCCCTGAATGTAAAAGCTGGGCATGATGGTGCATGCCTACAATGCCAGCACTGTGGAGGCAGAGACAGGAGGTTCCATGGGACTCCAGCCAATGGGGCCAACTCAGTGAGCTCCAGTGAGGCCCTGCCTCAAAAAAAAAAAAAAGGTAACCAATGTGAGCAGCAATTGAAGACCTACAGCATTGGCTTCTGGCTTCCATATACATTCATATACACCTGCACACACATAAACATCGACACATTCCACACACTAAGAAAGGAAACAGAAATGAGCAGTCAGAAACAAAACAAAAAGAATCCCATAGATTAGCTGCATCCCTGCCTGTGCCAACCCCCCAATTCCAAGGGCTGGGACTCCTGACACCTGTAAATCCCCTCTGTTGTGACTGACTGTTCACTGTCTCAAACTAGACTCAGAAGCACTGCATCATAGTTTGAAGCCCCAAAACTAGGCCTGAGAGAACCTCAGAGCCCTCCAGGAGCCTTTGGTGTTGGAAGATGCCTGAAGGGTAAGAACACACGCATGCCTTGTGCTGTCCTGGCCAGCACTCAGGGGCACTGAGAACACTGGGAAATTTCCCAACCACCACCCACCTCAGGCCTATGGCTGTAGATTCAAGCTGAGCCAGACACCCACTAACTCCTGTCTGGTAACCACCTTGGGCAGCAACTTCAGACTTCCTCAAGCCAGACTATTGTAAGACCCCAAGAAAAGCAGAAAGCTGGGGCTGGGAAGGCAATTCAGTTGGTCAAAGTGCATGGCCACACAAGCATGAGGACCTGAGATCAACCCTCCAACAGCTATAGAAAGAAGAGGGGGAAAAAAAAAAAGCAGAGCACAGCACTATCTATCTGTAAATCTAGCCCTGGGCAGTGCCGGCCAGGTGATCAGAATTGATAAGCCCAGGGTTCAGAGAAACACTGCCTCAAATAATATGGTGGGAAGTGACTAAAGAAGAGCCCTGATGCCGACCTGTCATCTACATGCACACACCTGCATGCACAGAAGCACACACAAAACTGTGTACATACACTATACACAACACGAGGAGGAGGAGGCAGCCCATCGTGGCTACTTCTCTTCCCAGGCGGTACCCACATTTCTTTACTGAAGGGTATTCAACAGAGGGATGATGAAGAGTACCCACTTTCTTCCTCCTGGATCCCCATGCCAGACACACAGTAGTCATTCCAGACCTTACTGAAGACGTGGCCTGGAGAGCTATGGTTAATGACATGGATTTCAGTTTGTTTTTGTTATTTTAAATCAGGGTCAGGGCTCGACTGTCACACTCCGTAACAGGCCAACCACAGAATGGTACATCAAACTAAAATCCACCCAGAAGCAGGGGAGAGTCTCTGCCTCCAAAAAGGTCGGTGAGTAAAATCAAATCTGTGCTCTAGCCTGTGGTGGTTACTGTTGCACACTTGCCAAGATCTGGAACCACAGAGACCCCTGGGATGTCTGTGAGGGGAGTCTTTTTAGGTTAATCGAAATGGGAAGATCCTCTCTGAATGTGGGTGACACCATCCCCCAAGCTACAGTCCTAAGACTGAATAAAAAGGGGCAAGCAAGCTCAGCACCAGCATCCGTCTCTCTGCTTCCTGACTGTGGATACACAAGGACCAGCTACCTCAAGCAATGGCAGGTTGTTTTCCCATCAGGATGGGGACCAAAGCAAAAGCTTCCTCACTTAAGTTGCTTCTTTTCAGGTCAAAGCAAGGAGAAAGAAATTATTAAAACCCTCTAACATGGGGGCTGGAGAGATGGCTCAGAGATTAAGAGCACTGACTGCTCTTCCACAGTTCAATTCTCAGTTCAATTCCCAACAACCACATGGTGGCTGACAACCATCTGTAATGAGATCTGGTGCCCTCTTCTGCAGGGACACATGCAGACAGAACACTGTATACACAACAAATAAATAAATAAATAAATCTTGGCGGGGGAGGTGGGGGTGTTGAGACAGGGTTTCTCTATGGCTTTGGAGGCTGCCCCAGGAACTAGCTCTTGTAGACCAGGCTAGTCTGAAACTCACAGAGATCCGTGTGCGCCACCACTGCCTGGCAATAATTTTTTTTTAAAGGCCTCTAACATAGCAGAGGTGGTGCACAATTAGTGCTATCACTCAGGAGGCAGAGACAGGTGGATCTCTGTGAGTTGGAGGCCAGCCTGGTCTACAGAGAGAGTTCCAGGACAGCTAGGGTGACACTGAGAAACCCTGTTTCAAACAAACAAACAAACAAATAAACAAGAATCCTCTAAGGATAGCAGTCCATGGGAAGACAGGGCAGAAGCCAAGAAAAGTCTGATGCTCCAGATGCCCTGACCCAGGGTTCAGAACAAAAGTTCTGAAAACCAGTCTGACCCGGGGTAGGTCAGTTCATAGTCTTACAACTTGGGCCCTGGGGGCTCCCGGCCTCCTCAGACACCCCCACCCCCTAGTCAATCAGTCCCTAGAAAGAAAGCCTTTCTCCTCATTTCCCCTTGACCTCCCATCCTACATCAGAATGGACAGAGTCAAGTTCATGGCTTCATCATGCAAAATCCCTGGGTCACCCCTCTTTCCACTAAGGTTCCTGAGCCTTAGGGCATAGTGCTAGAGACAGCGAATGGGATGGGGCCCTGTCCATGACAAGGGAGTGTGCAAAGACACATGGTAAAGTTTGAAAAGTTAGGAACTCCAGAAAAGTTCAAAATCCAGGGAGCATGTTTGTGTGTGTTCGTGAACATGCATGCACACTTGTAGCTGGTTTTACCTTCATTCCTTTCAGTGGCCCCCACTGACTTCAAAGCCCTTCAAGACTTTCTGTTCAGGATGTCTGTCCTATTCACTACAATCCTCACCATCTACCAAGTTTCCGGAGCCCCTACTCTCCAGGGTTGCTCCTGGAGACCATCCAAGATCCCCAGATCACTCTCCTCAACCAGGCCAGCTAGACCCCCCCCCAAGACCCGCCAGTAGCTACTGAACCAAAACAAAGTGCCAATGCCACCCACAGAGGTTGAGCAGGTGAGCTAATTCTCGCTGGTATCCACACCTCCTCTTTCCCTCCTTGTGTCCACAGGAGGCACCCTAGATTCCAACAACCCAAGGGATGAGCTCCCCCACCCACCTCGGGGGGCAAGAGACTTAGCAGATAGTAACCCAGTCAGCCTCCATTTGCAGACGAGGCAGGCTGGACCGCGGCCCCCACAATGTCACAAAGCCGGCTTTAGGGGGCCAACACCGGGTGCT